TATGTATGCATGTATTGCCTGTGAGTAGGTAAGTGCACCCTTGTCATGCAGTGCCAGAGGAGGACAGAAGAGGCCATCAGATTCCTTGGAACTGGAGTTACGGATAGTTATTAGCTGCCATGTGGGTGCTGGGATTTGAACCAAGGTCTTCTGCAAGAACAACCAGTGTTCTTAACCATGAGCCATCTCTCCAGCCCCAACAAAGCACCCATTCTAAGACAATCATTGTATTTTGATAGTAGATTTACTAAAAATCTAACTATATTAAATTAGCTTTTTCCAAAATAAAAGCCACCAGATACACACTTCCCATTATGATTATGTGGATTTAGATTTTATACTATAATCACACTCATTGAAAGACCTACATTTGTGTTTCTAGACAATCTGTCCTAAATTGATGCTTTGTCTTAAGATACATAGGTGAGCCAGAGTGGTGGCATATACCCTCAACCTCAGCCTTTGGGATGCTAAGGCAGAAGGATCACAGGTTTGAGGTGAACCTGGGCTACATAGCAATTTCTTATCTTTAAAAATACATTGTAAGGGGGCTGAAGAGATGGCTCAGGGGTTAAGAACACTGGTTGTTCTTGCAGAAGACTCAGGTTCAAATCACAGCACCCACATTGCCGTTAACAACTATCTGGAAGTCCAGGTCCAGGGAATCTGACAGCTTCTTCTGTCCTCCACAGGCATTGCATGACATGGGTGCACTTACATGTATGCAGGCAATACATGCACGCACATAAAATAAAAAATAAAATAATAAAATATTTGTATTAAATTTATTTATTTGGAAGTGTGCATGTGTGTGTGTATGTGTGTATGTGTGTGTGTGTGTGTACAAGTATGTTATTGTGAACCTGTAAAGGTCAGATTATGTGTCATGGTAATACTTCCTGGCAAGAACGTTTACCCACTAAGCCACCTCACTGGACCGCAATAATAATTTTGAAGTTAATTACTGTTAAAAATTAGTCTTTATCTAGACTCATTAAACCATATATATCAATTTTACAAGGAAATGTGGCTTAGCCACGATTTTGATATCTTTTTCTGAACATTTCAAACTATATTTTCCCAAGTGTTATATTTCCCATTCTGCTTTCCCCAAATATTTCATAACTCCCTTATTTCAATATCATAACAAAAATATATTAAGTTTTTTAAAAATTTACCATAATTTGAAAAGTGTAATTACATATGCCCTCTTTTCCTGCTGCTTTATTTAATGAGGTTATATTTATATTGCACTCCTGAGATTTAATAAAATCTGAATTGGTTTTTCTGTTATGATCAATGGTTGGTACATTCTGTCTTTTGACTCAGAGTGACGCTGATTTCATAAAGTTAACTTGGAAATTGTAGAAAACCAGAATGGCATTCCCTAGGGCGAGATGGACCTGAAACTCATAAAGCCCAGGCTACAATTTCTGCTGAAGGGAGGGACGCTGAATACAGAATCCTCAAATCCTTGTCTCATAGAACACTGCAGGGATAGCAGGAGAAAAGTGGCCAGGTCAAAAGTCTAAGTTCCTTCTTCTGAGGGAAAGCATCTTGGCCAACAGCCCCTAGACCACCTCCTTGTTCTGAACAAATAACTCTCTGCTTTCATTAGCTAAAAGAATAGGCCAGGTAAAAGTTTACTCCTGGGCTAAAAGTTAAAAGTTTACTATGCATTTTGTCTTAAGATAGGAAGCATTTTGGCCAATAAATTACCAGGTAGGCACTGGTAACCCTAAGTAAAAGTTCAAGCATCCTGATTTACAAACAGCCTCTAGCTGGGGCCAGATTAAAGCTGTATGCCCTGTTCCTCATCTGACTGTGCCCTAAATCTTTGTACATAACTGCCAAACCCCACATGACTTCCAGTGCCTTGTAGTGTGTAAAACCCACTGAATTTTTCAATAATGTTGACTTGTTACAAAAGGTCTAAAGTCCCAGGGCTGCCATCACAGAAGCAAGGTTCCCCCACAAGACAAAGAGGGGACCCTGCAGAAATGTTCCCAGAACTTTAGTTTTTCAAAGTATTATGAAGAAAAGGTGTTAATTCTTCTTGGAATATTTATAAAACCTATCTGTATAAAACTTATCTTGGCTTGTCTTTGTTGAGAGATATTTTACAAGTAGTTAAAGCTCTTTTATTTGTACTTCATCTACTCAGGCTTTCTATGCACTCACATTTTGTCTTGGTGCGCCTGTGAATCTATCCATTTCCCCCAGGTTATTCAGATTTTTAAAAATTTAATTTCTTGGTGTACTTTTATGATACTTTTATCTCTGAGGCATCAAATATACCTTTTCCTCTTTGATTTTGTACTTTCAAAATTATTTTTGGCTGTAAATGTAAGGATCCATATTAAATATAAGGATCCATATTTATCATATTATAAGAAATTTCATTTGTCTAGAGATGTGAAAGCGATAGGGTTTTCTCTATGATCTATGTCCTCTCCTGCCATGTGTATTTGGTTGAGTTTACAGTGCCATTCTTGAATTCATTCCCACTAAGAGGGCTTTAAGTCCAATTAGGTAACTGTTGATTACCCCTCCACCTCTGATAATAGTGCTAGTATGGCATCAATAGAGGTAGTTTGCTCTGCCATTTGTTATGCTCATTAGGCTTTAGGGATGGGTTGGACTATTGGCTATTTTCCTTCCTTGGCACTTTGCATATGCATCTGGCATTATGATAGCTAAACTTCAGGTAAAAGGCCTCCAGGTCAGTTCCTGCTCCATTGTTCCTTGTTCTGTAGTCAAAGTATATCCTGTCTTCAGCAGTAGGAGGATCTTATCTTCTAGTTCTGGGAGATAACCAAGAGGCTTTAGGGATGGCTTGGACTATTGGCTGTTTTTCTTCCTTGGCACTTTGCATATGCATCTGGCATTATGATAGCTAAACTTCAGGTAAAAGGCCTCCAGGTCAGTTCCTGCTCCATTGTTCCTTGTTCTGTAGTCAAAGTATATCCTGTCTTCAGCAGTAGGAGGATCTTATCTTCTAGTTCTGGGAGATAACCAAGAGGTTTGTCAATAGCCTGTGTTATTTGGGAGTCTCCTGGACCACTGTCACCAACCTCTCAAAGAAAGTTCTCTTCTGTCTGGCACTGTGTTCCTTGCCAAGCAGCTCCCAGGTATACATATGCACTAATGTTCAGACACTGTATGTACATTTCTCATGGGGTTTTTAATGGCATCACATTTCCCTCTGGGTTTCCTAGGCCCCCAAGATTCATTCGTCTCTATTCTTT